AGAGCTCATACTCCGAACGTTTTGATTACTTTGTCCAGGCTAACAGCATTGCATTATCACAAAATTGTGCCCACCTTCCTGGCTGTGATGGGACCTAAAACGTATAATTTATTACGTGACTTGCTTCAACCCACAAAGCCTGGGGAAAAGACATACGCTGAAATAGTCAATGTTTTGTCAAACCATTTTTCACCGAAGCCATTATTAATCTCTGAGAGGTTGAAGTTTCATAAACATGACCAAGAAGAAGGAGAGTCAGTGTCTTTGTTTGTTGTGGCAATGAGAAAATTGGCAGAACATTGCGAGTTTGGTAACATGCTAAATTCATGCTAAAAAATTGCGTAGAGCTCACAAAAAAAAAACACCACAGCCTGTTCCATACGTGTCACCGAGCTGGAGCGCTACAGCCGCCGTTGGAACCTCAGACTTCACGGAGTCCCTGAGTCGGAGAAGGAGGACGTGGTGGTGGAGGTGACCCGGGTCTGTCAAGAGGTTTTGCCGAGGGAAAAAGAGAGGCTTCAGCTTTTAGTTGATGTTACTCCTCGGGTTTGGAAAAAGATCGCCGGCAGTCCCTCGTCCTATTATCATTCGCTTTGTCGCCAGGAGGTATCGAGATTATATATGGAAAGCAGCTAAAGGCAAAATGGTCTCCGTTTTACCGTTTTAAGAAGGCCGAGACTTCCGACAGAAACTATGGCCGTCATCCAAAAAGCTCGGGAAGAGGGGAAATCAGCATATTTCATAGGTGGTCGCGGTTTCATCAACGGCGTGGAGATCCCTGCAACTCTTGATCCGGTGGAGGAGTAAACTGGAATCTGGATTCCCTGTTTGGTTTACTGTATTGTTCTAAAAATGGCGACGTTATTGCTAAATAATATTTAGTTCCTTCATACGGTGCTGGTCCACAATGTTTATGTTACTGTTCACCTTCTCTGACCGAGCACTTTTTTCTTGTTCTTTAAAGTCTTTCATTTCTTTCTCTCAATGCCAGGGGGATGCGTAATGTGTTAAAAAGGAAAGCTCTGTTTCTATTTGCCAAAAATGTTCATTCTGATTATTGTTTCTTTTCAGCAGTGTCATTCAACTGCTACTGATGTTCATTTCTGGAAAGCCCAGTGGGCAAATTGTATTTGGTTTTCTCATGGGTCTGAGCATTCTGCAGGAGTTAAAACATAGAATTAAAGGGAATATATTGACTCTGAATGTGATCTAATGGGACAACATATCAGTCTGTTCTTACTCTGGAAAACCATCATTTCATCTGTGCTGATATTTATGGATATAATAACAAAGGAGGGAATGATAAACTATTTTACTCAATAGAAAATATTTTTTATTATGGTTAAATAAATTTCCCAAAGCTACAATTATTATTGGAGGAGGTTTTAATACCATTCTTGATTAGGATCTTAATAAATGGCCTCCAAGCAGACCTAATGCCTCCAACTCCTCTGTCAAAGCCTTTATGGAAAAAATCAACTTGACTGATATCTGGAGAGCTGTCCATCCTCATGACTAGTTGTTCACTGGAATAATAAATCATTAACAAGACTGTCCAGGATTGATTTCTGGTTAATATCAAATAAAGTAAACAAGGAGGATGTAACTGTTAATATAGTTCCTACTCCTCACAAAGCTATTAAATTGATTTTTTTTAATTTTCAGGCAAAAAAACCTTTTTCTCTCTGTTATACTGAAAAATTAACACATCTTTACTGCAATTTGGAGAAGTATTGGAGAAATATATCAAAATTATTCAATCAGTATTGGTCTAGATGCTCTCTATAGTCTTAATTTGGAACTTTTCAAATTTGAATCTGGCAAATTCTTGAGGACATTTAGTATTATTAGGGTCAAAACTATTAGAGCAGAAGAAGATTATATAATTTCAAGATTTATTGAGCGGTCTTATTTAAATCCATCTTCCTTAAATGATTTAGAACAACAAGAATTAGCTGAATTACAAATTAAGTTAGACAATATGTACATAAATAAAAGTAAAGGTGCATTTGTTAGATCAAGAAGAAAATGGTTGCAAGAAGGAAAACAAAACACCCATTACTTTTTCAGGCTTGTAAAGCATAATGCTATCAATAATTCAGCAGACTAAAAATTAACGACTCAACAACATGATCCTGATCATGTTGCTAAATACTGTTGATCATTTTATGAGAATCTTTTTTCAATTGATTCCTTATTAAATAATTTAATAATGAAACCGATTTCTAACATCAACCAGAAACGCTGTGAGGAGCCAATCACTATTCATGAAATTCTTGATGCTATTGCACATCTCCAAGCCAACAAATCCCCTGAAACCGATGGTCTAAGTGCCGAAATCTAGAAACATTTTTCTAACGACCTAGCTCCGTTTTTATTACAGGTATTTAATGAAAGCATCAAAAATGTCTCTCTGCCTGCAACTCTTACTCAGGCCTTAACCTCCTTTATACCAAAACCCAACAAGGATCCTTTACTTCTTGATAATTGGTGACCTATTTGCCTTCTTAATACTGACTATAAACTATTAGCCTTAGTGATGCTAAAAGATTAAAATCAACTCTTTATTCAATCATTGACGAAACTCAATCTGTATTTATGAAAAATCGGCAATCACAAACAACATAAGAGTTGTTCTTGATATCTTAGATGATCCTGATTTTGTTTCTGATAATGGATTCATTTTATTTTTAGACGTCTATAAGGCTTTTGACGCTGTAGAACATGGTTTTATATTTCAAAGCTCAGAAAAGTTTGGATTTGGACAGCATTTTATAACAGTTATCAAAACAACATCAGCTGTATCAGATGAAGGAAAGGCTCATCTCCCAGATTTAACCTCAGCAGAGGAATCAGACAGTGGTGTTCTGTCTCCCCCTACCTGTTGGTTTTGGTAGCTCAGCTTCTAGAAGATCACATTAAAACCTCTGAAAGGGTTAATGTTGCTGAAAAATAACTGACCTTAACACAACTGACTGATGACACTACCCTGTTCTTAAAGGATAAGAATCAAGCTTCATTAGTGATCCAAGTATTAAATAATTTTTCCAAAGCTTCTGTTCTGCATTTGAATCTAAAGAAATGTGAGATTACAGCAGTTAAAGATCGCACTGAGACATCAATTGATGACATTCCAGTTAAAAACTAGGTTGGTTATTTAGGCATAACCTTTACAAAAGAACAACAACATCATAGCTCAGAAAATCTACTTTAATGAACCCATATAAAAATGGAGGGCTTAACTGTTCATCTTTCTCTTCCTTAAATAACACTTTTAAGATAAATTGGATTCACCGGTTCTTCACATCTCAACCTTTTATATGGAAAACTATCGCTTACCACATTTTCTCTAAACTTGGAGGTTTAACCTTTTTCTTGGTTTGTAATTTTGATACACATAAAATTCCTATCAAACTCTCCAGTTTTCACCACCAGGCTTTTTATGTCATGGTCACTTATCTACAAGCACATCTTTTCACCTCAGCCGTATTTCATTTGGAACAATAAAGACATCCTGTACAGAAAAAAGATCATTGTTTTTGGATTTGTGGTTCAGTCACAGTATTACTCTGGTTCATCAACCGTTCGATGACAATGGGACCTTATTGAATTATGAAGGGTTCCTCTCTAATTTTAACCTTTCTTCTTCTTCTGGAGAATATGCAAAGGTTTTTGTTCTATTTCAGCTGGGATTAGCAGGTTATACAGACAGAGGCCCAGACTCCATTCCTCTTCATCTCCTTCTCTGACTCCCATCAACTCTTCTGTTGTCAAAATATGTCTGACCTCGTCTCTTCATCAGAACAATAAGTCAATCAAATCCCTCTCTTAGAGAGAGGTGGCATCTGTTCCTGCTGTTGTTCCATATTGGAACAAATTTGTGACAGATTAGCTTGGCTGTTAGCCAATCCCTTTCTCCTCTCTAACAAGGTGAAGTCTCATTCAAACTCATTCACAGGATTGATCCCGCTAAAGACTACCTAAAGAAGTTCAAATCTGATATTTTGGTGAACTGCACTTTTTGTGATCTTCTCCCAGAATCTGTTCCACATTTGTTTTGGTTGTGTCCATATTCTAAGACTTTTACACTTTAGTAACTTTGTGGATTCAAATATTTTTAATAATTTTCAGCTTCATTGAAAAAAACGTTTTATTTCATTTTCAACGGTAAAGTAGGCTAAAATGTTTCCTAAACCTTTCCTTATTAATCTTTTAATTATATTGCCTAAATTTCATTTGCATTAATTTAAATTTCTAAAAAAAAAAAAAAAAAAAAAGCCAGACTTTAATTTGTATTTAACTGAAGTCAAGCAATATTTTCATACTATTTAACTCTCTTCTCACCAGAAGGCACAAAAAACCACAGCAATCTGTTCCCAACTAAAACTTCTGGACAACTTAATGTTATAGAAGAATGTTTATTTGTAGAATATAAATATGTTTATATGTATACATACATAAGCACATATTTCTCTCCCCAGCGCATGTTTGTCAATCTGTTTGTTTTTTCTCCTGAATGTATTTATTATTTGTAACATACCCGCTGGCATATTTGTTTAACTGAAATAAAAAAAATAAAGTAAAGCACACCTTCCAGCATATTCCTGCCTCCTGAGCCGTTATTACTAATTGAAAGTTGGGTAGAATATAACATTTATTTTCTCAATAAATACATTATTAACCTTTCACACATTATATTTTAGTATGTTTACTATGTTTGGATTGGAAAATGTCATTTAGGTATTTTTAACAAAATAAAATCGAGGATCACCGGGAAGTATATCAGCCCATCTTAGATTAATAAATGTAACTCAGCGGATCTGAATCTTATTTTGGTTTTGTTTATATTGTTTAGTTAATTTGATTGTGACGTGTTTGTTTAGTATAAATTAGTAGACATTCTGATCCACACTCCATACCAGTTGGTGGCGGTAATGCACCATTTCTTTGCGTGCCAACCGCCAAAAAATTCCATAGAGAAAGAAAAAAGAAGACGGGACGGATCGGGTAGAGACACGGCTATCAGCTGTTAGCATTAGCTTCCGTGTGCTAGCAGAGAGGCTGCTAATGTGTGAGTGTTTGCAGTGAGAATGTGTTGAGTCCAGCTGGAAGGAGAGTTTGTCAGCGAGCAGTTAACTCCTGCTGGAGAAACATTCCCAGAGTTTAAAGGAAGATTAGATCAGATCGAGGAGGAGAAGATGGATGATCAGCACAGACTGCTGGATTTCACCAGGATCCCCCAGATCATCTTACACCGGACAGGTAGGAAACACCTGGGATTTTAAGGCTCTCCCAGGAAGCCCTGCTGCTCTGGGTGGATGAGTGGGGGGGTGGTTATTAGTAGGCAGGTGCTAGCATTAGCCATGCCAGCTAGCATTAGCCATTCCCTGTCAGCTAATGCCAGCTGGCAGGAAAAGAGAAGGGAGGAAAAAGCTGTGGCGTCATGATGGAGCCATTCTGATCTGAGAGGAAAATCTGATTCTAGTTGTTGGAGAATCAGAGACAGGAAGGAGGAGAGAACCTCTGGAAGATGGAGACAACATCAGGAGACCATGGCTCTGTTCGATCTGATCTGGTCTGATCCTGGGCTGCATCCTCCCAGGACGCGGTCTACCTAGACTGGATTCTTTGATGTCCGGGAAAATAAGGAGACCGGAAGAGTTTTGGCTGTGAATCCGATCAGGTCTACCCGGGTCGGATTCACACGGGTTTTACCGCCGTATGCTCTGTTGCTTAGCAACCGTGAAAGTTGACACACAAAGCAGGAAAAGAATGAAAACCGAAGTTTTCAAAACTGCTTATTTATTTCTTTTTATTGTAAAGTGAACAAAGACTGATTTATTCCAGAGTGGAATAAAGGTTCCAACCAGCGGGAGCAGGAACAAATCAAATCAAATGTAATGATAGAAACCTTAGTCAGTTAAATAACCTGCTGCTGTCATTCTGCACATCTCTGATGTTGCTGCTATTTTCTAATTACTGGAAAAATGTCCATAGCTGCATATTGGTTATTTATTCTCCAGTTTTATATTGTTAAAACACTTTACAGTATTTTATTTTTTATATTTTAACTCTTCCCTATTATGTTATTCTTATACATTTCTCTAAGGTCCTCATTTGTGTGACTATTTTCAATAATCTTTCTGCTGCTGTAAATTTGCCCATTGCAGGACAATAAAGGGATTTCCTATTCTATTCTATTAAAAGGGTTAGAAATATATAAGTAAATCTAAACAATGTATGTATAAAACATATATCTACAAAATTTCTAATATTCAACAAAAAAGTCTTAGTTAAGCATATTGTGCAAAACAGCAATAAAAGAAATTAAAATCCTATCAGATTTATAGTCCCCACCCTGCAGATCTATTAGAATCTGACCTTAAATTCCAGCCAAACCCATTTAATCAGTAACAGATAAAAACCTTTAGATAAACCAAACATTACCGCCACATATTTGACTCAATAACCATTAAAACAACTATTTTCATTAATCTCAGACGGAACTATTCACTGACTGGATTATATTAAACTGAACTTCCAATTTTCACCACTGTTTGGCGCCAAGTAACCTTTCCTCTGATCACAGCTTGCTTGGTCTCGCAATGAATCCTGGGATATCCAAGAATACCGAGGATACATCGGACCCGTCCTTCAAATCTGGCAAAAAGAAGGACGCATTTTAAGGCCGCATAACGAGGACTCTTGGAATCTGACCAGACCTCGGCGGCGCGCTATGATGTAATCGTCCTTTGAATCTGGCCTTCTAAGGATGCGTCCTAGGAATTCGAACAGAGCAAACATCAGGAGACCATGTTCCTCAGTGGACGTCAGTCAGAGACCATCATTAGTTATTATAACCATCCCAGTCCCTGTAGGTTATCACTGTTAGTGATAACCTACAGGGACTGTTTGGTCAAATATTGATCAAAAAACAGAAATGTATTCATGTTATGTATCAATGTTGCATCAAGCTAAGGAACCATGAATGATCCAGTTAATAAATGAGAGCTTCTAAAACTTCTAAAGTGGCTCCAGATTTGCTGCTCAGTAAGTTCCAGAAGAACAAACAGGAAATGATGAAAATATTAGCTAAACATGAGTTGAGTATTTACATAAACCCATAAAACCTGAGAGTAAAAATGTCTCTAATTTTATCACAGAAGAAGATTTTTCAGACTAATTCTGAAACCTTTAAAAGTGTCATTTTCTCACTTATTTGAGACCATCTCCATAATTTGGGATGTTTGTCCCAGATTAAAAAGGATGCTTAATATATATAGACCTAAACATTTTTTGAAACTATTCTTCAATTTTCAAATTGCAAAGTCTCTCAGTTCTATTCATGCTACGACCCCCCCCCCCAGATGTTATTAATCAATCGGATGGAACGAATTTTAATCCAATAAACTGTTACTTCTAAATGAATCATTCATTGATTATTTAAAAAAATGCTTAATCTCTATTTAGGGTTTCTGTTAATATTTAAAACACGTGACATCACAGCATCGACCTATTAAATGAAATGTATTTTTGATACTTTAATCTGTTTAAATCAAGTTTTAATCAGATTTAGTTAAATTTAACTGATTATTTTCAGAGCATCTTTATATTAATGTATGATTAAAGCTAAGCTTTTTTTCTGTTTGTCTTTCCAGACCTCCTGCAGGTTGGAAAAGAGGAGGATTTCTCTGAGCAGCAGCTCTGGAAACAGGAGAGGAATTCCAGTTTGGACCAAGAGGAACCAGAACCTCTGCAGATGAAAGAAGAGCAGCTAAAGCCAGAAGATCCCTGGACTAAAGAGGAAACCATGGAGCTCCCCATCACTGAGCAGGAGGAGCAGCAGGAGGCTGGTGGTTAGAGATGAACTGATTCAGGCTTTTTAAGGCTGATCTTTAACTCCAGTCTAACTGATCCCTGATAGATGCTACAAGATTTTGTAGATCCATTTTTTAAGCCTGTATTTATTTTCTTTGTCATTTTAAATGGTTAAAACATCACAATCATCCATTAACAAATCCACCTAAACATTAACAATGTCTAATAAATGGAGGGAGCAGCAATACATGATCTGAAGGCATTGCTGCTGAATGCAGTAATTCAGTAGCAGTAATGAGACCCGGCAGGATTTTAGCTAGCAATAATTCATTGGGCGTCCATCTTGGTGCATCACATCTTTAGGGGGTCCAGGGGGGGGGGATCCTCTCTGAAACGCCATCTCCTGCTTTTTGAGGTGGAATGCAGCTATCTGTTTGTCTTTGCTCCAACCCTACTTTAGTCCTGATCATGGGAAGTATGTGAGCTTGACTAGAGGAGGGACTTTCCTCAGGAAGACATCAGATCATTTTAGGTACAATATTATGTTTCATAGGATGATTTAAACAGTCAGAAAGTCTAAAGGCCTGGTTATCGTCCCTCAGCAGTGTGTCACAGTGAGCTTGTTGCAGATATTTCTGCTGAATATTGAGGCGTGGTCTGAGCTATGTTATTCCACGCCACAACGCCAGAGGGCCAATCAGGAACTAGCTGTGGGTCTAGATACGGCCGAGGCGGGGATAAAATGGGGGCAAGTTTCTGCGATAACGGAGAGACATGGGGGCCAAAAAGAGCGGGGAACCAGGTGGAAGAAGGCTCCCAGCGTTCTCACGCACCTCGCTCTGCTAGCTGGTCAAACTTCTCCAGTCGTTTTCCACAATGGCGTTCAGACAAACAAAACAAGCTGGTAAGGTAACAAACAGGAAATACGCATAGAGTAGAGCAGATGGAGATTTGACCAATCAGAGGCCTCCTGTCTGCCGTCACCTATAATTTTGTAGAGGTGCAGCAGAGTGTCTGCAGAAGGGGGGGCGGGGCATATCTGCATTAACTGCAACACCGCAGACCACCTGGTTAGAAGCTTCTGCTGCTTCATCTTTGATCCTCATCAAGGTCAGCCGTCCAGTAAAGTGAGTCCAGAAGCTTCTGCTGCTCCTGTGTTCGATGCCAGAGAGCAGCTTTGCTATATTAGCTGTGATCAGCGGGTAGAAAGTAGTTAGAATCTATGTTGAAGTGAGGAAGTCCTCCTGAAAACATGGTCTGTGCAGTCAGTTCATCCAGATTACCATCCTGCAGACCCAGAGTTAAATAAATACTGTGCTGTAGTGTTTTTGCAACATAGATTCTCTGTATCTGGAGAATAAATGATGAATAAAGAGCTGTGGACATTTTTACAGTCAATTATATGTGAAAATGAAATAAAATGAAATAGAAAACACAGGCTTATAGTTTCTCATTTTATAATGTGTATAAAATGAAATGCACTATAAGTGAACAAATATCCAGCATTTTGTTGTTTATAGTATTAAATAATTCACTAAGATGGCAGAAGATGCTAAATTCCTCATTGGGTCATGTGACCCACTGAGGGACGCTGTAGTTTATTCAGGAAGAAGTCATTTTACATGGAGTGAATATTTATTGACCTGTGATGGAGTGTTCTCCTTTAATGAGGTCAAATAGGAAGCAGTCACAGTCTTGGTGGTTTAATTAAAGCTCGCTGGTTTAATCAGCGCTGCTAAATGTTCTTTGATCTTATGCAGAGCCGCTGGAAGTTCATTATCCATCAGAACATTTTCCAGATGCTGCTGAGTTTGAATTGGTTTAAACCAGAGTCTAAGCTTTAGTTTAAAGAGAGGATCCCAGGATTGGGATTGGTTCTGTGGTGGTTTGGGTTCTGTTGGGTCGATAGCGTGCTGCTGCGGCGGGCGTGAAGGCTGGCGGTCAGTACTGGAGCCCTGTGTGTGGTTCTGGATAGCAGGCTGGGCTCCGCCGCTGAGCCTGGATGGGGAAAGCGGTCCCTCAGTAACCCGATGGCAGCGAACGCTCCAAGAACCGGATCCTTTCTGCTGTCTGGTTGGGAAACGTTGCCCTTCAGATGTGGTTTTTACCCGATTCTGCTCATGCCGCTTTATTAAAGCAACAGAAAACAAGCTGCTGATACTTTGGTTTATTGGATCCAACTGATGCTGTGAGAGCAGGACTGATGATAAAATAATCTGCTGTGATGTCATTCCATCTTAGTCTCCTGAATTGGTTTGGATGCCACAGATTGTCTGGTTGATCTTTGTCTGATCTGTTTACTTTCTGGATTGAAATTTGACACAAACTCGGGTCCTTGGGATAATGAAACCTTCCTTTTCCCAGCATTATCCATCAGAGATGATCATTTAGTTAGGATCCGTCTGTTTCCACCTCCTGCACTGAGTCCAGAGGGCATCCAATCAGAGCTGGCCTTCCTGATCAGCTGATCCAGCCGCTTCCTCTCAGCTACAGATGAGCCACTGCTCCAACAGACACTTCATAGAAGATGGCTGATGCCACAGCAGAGTCAGAGAAGGTCTGTAGAGCGCCCCCTGCAGTCCTAAAGACCTCAGTCTCCTCAGCAGGAAGAGTCTGCTCTGACCTTTCTGATCCAGAGCCTCAGTGATGGAGTCCAGTCCAGTTTGTTCTTCAGGTGAACACTGAGGTTTATGAGTCCACTATCTCAGTGTTCCTTCCCTGGATGTTCCCCGGTCTCAGTGGGGTGGATCTGCTTCTGTGAAAGTCTATCTTCTATCATGTTAGAAATGTTTTGTGTAATGCCTCCACTTTTCTATCATCACATCGTCGTCTTCCAAACACAGCGGAGGAGCTAATGCTGCTTCACCATGCAGCATGGCTACACAGCTGCTATTTAGGTCATAACTTCAGGAGTTTAAACTTCTGTCATTGGAAAAAGTATTCAAATATTCGCTCCAGTTGAATAAATGGAGATTGATGGATTTCACTCATTTATTATATCTTTGCAAAGAGAGAACATTTCGTCATACAGCCCTTATTGCACGGTCATTTCCTTTCCTGGGACATCCTAGAGCCCAGGGAGACTTATTATCTTCATTTTACTGAAGGCCTGCTCACCTCCAGCCAGTCACAGGTAGAAGGATAAGAAAAGCAGGACACACAGGTCTCCATGAAGCCTTTTCAGTCCCATCTTATGGATTGCATTGAGTAGATTCAGAGGTCAAAGGCCATCTTTCAAAGTAGCACTATAAATTGTCTCCAAGTGCTGAACTTGAACCATGTCCGTATCACAAATGTTGTTGATTTTAATGGCTTTCTGTTATATGTGCTAGCTTTGACTGTAAAAAATATAAATTATGCTTTGGATGTATTAACTCTATCATTCTGGACGTCTCACTGCCTGACCTCTGACCCCCTGGACATGCATCTACCAGGACTATGCATGTAAGCCTGACATTCAAAGCACGTTCAGTGTGAACACCAGCAATGTAGCTAACATTAGCTGATCCATTAGCCAACGATTAGCTGTCCTATTAGCCAACCATTAGCTGACCTATTAGCCGACCATTAGCTGACCCATTAGCCAACCATTAGCTGACCTGTTAACTGACCTATTAGCCAACTCATTAGTGGATCTGTTAGCCAACCATTAGCCGACCTATTAGCCGACCATTAGCTGACCTGTTAGCTGACCTATTAGCCCACTCATTAGCGGACCTATTAGCCAACCATTAGCCGACCTATTAGCCAACGATTAGCTGACCTATTAGCCAACCATTAGCAGACCTATTAGCCGACCTGTTAGCTGACCTGTTAGCTGACCTATTAGCTGACCTATTAGCTGACCTATTAGCTGACCTATTAGCTGACCTATTAGCCGACCTTTTAGCTGACCTATTAGCTGACCTGTTAGCTGACCTTTTAGCTGACCTTTTAGCTGACCTGTTAGCTGACCTATTAGCTGACCTGTTAGCCGACCTGTTAGCCGACCTATTAGCTGACCTGTTAGCCGACCTGTTAGCTGACCTGTTAGCTGACCTGTTAGCCGACCTGTTAGCTGACCTATTAGTCGACCTGTTAGCTGACCATTAGCCGACCTGTTAGCTGACCTATTAGCCGACCTATTAGCTGACCTATTAGCCGACCTGTTAGCTGACCTGTTAGCCGACCTGTTAGCTGACCTATTAGCCGACCTGTTAGCTGACCTATTAGCCGACCTGTTAGCTGACCTATTAGCCAACCATTAGCTGACGTGTTAGCTGACCTGTTAGCTGACCTGTTAGCTGACCGGTTAGCCGACCTATTAGCTGACCTGTTAGCTGACCTGTTAGCTGACCTGTTAGCTGACCTATTAGCTGACCTATTAGCCGACCTGTTAGCTGACCTGTTAGCCGACCTGTTAGCTGACCTATTAGCCGACCTGTTAGCTGACCTATTAGCCGACCTGTTAGCTGACCTATTAGCTGACCTATTAGCCACCCATTAGCTGACCTATTAGCCGACCTGTTAGCTGACCTATTAGCCAATCATTAGCTGGCCTGTTAGCTGACCTATTAGCCAACCATTAGCCGACCTATTAGCCAACCTTTTAGCTGACCTGTTAGCTGACCTATTAGCCAACCATTAGCTGACCTATTAGCCAACCATTAGCTGACTTATTAGCCACCCATTAGCTGACCTGTATAGCTGACCTATTAGCTGACCTATTAGCTGACCTATTAGCTGACCTGTTAGCTGACCTGTTAGCCAACCATTAGCTGACCTATTAGCCGACCTGTTAGCTGACCTATTAGCCGACCTGTTAGCTGACCTATTAGCCGACCTGTTAGCTGACCTATTAGCCGACCTGTTAGCTGACCTATTAGCCGACCTATTAGCTGACTCATTAGCTGACCTGTTAGCTGATATATTAGCTGACCTGTTAGCTGACCTATTAGCCAACCTATTAGCTGACCTGTATAGCTGACCTATTAGCCGACCTGTTAGCTGACCTATTAGCTGACCTATTAGCTGACCTATTAGCCGACCATTAGCTGACCTGTTAGCTGACCTGTTAGCTGACCTATTAGCTGACCTGTTAGCTGACCTATTAGCTGACCTGTTAGCTGACCTATTAGCCGACCTGTTAGCTGACCTATTAGCCAACCATTAGCTGACCTATTAGCCGACCTGTTAGCTGACCTATTAGCTGACCTGTTAGCCGACCTGTTAGCTGACCTATTAGCTGACCTATTAGCCAACCATTAGCTGACCTGTTAGCTGACCTGTTAACCGACCTATTAGCTGACCATTAGCTGACCTATTAGCTGACCTGTTAGCTGACATGTTAGCCAACTATTAGCTGACTCATTAGCTGACCTATTAGCTGACCTGTTAGCTGACCTGTTAGCTGACCTGTTAGCTGACCATTAGCTGACCTGTTAGCTGACCTGTTAGCTGACCTGTTAGCTGACCTATTAGCCGACCTGTTAGCCGACCTGTTAGCTGACCTGTTAGCTGACCTGTTAGCCGACCTGTTAGCTGACCTGTTAGCCGACCTGTTAGCTGACCTGTTAGCCGACCTGTTAGCTGACCTGTTAGCTGACCTGTTAGCTGACCTGTTAGCTGACCTATTAGCTGACCTATTAGCCGACCTGTTAGCTGACCTGTTAGCCGACCTGTTAGCTGACCTGTTAGCCGACCTGTTAGCTGACCTGTTAGCCGACCTGTTAGCTGACCTGTTAGAAGTGAGTGTTTATAGTAAACCGATCAGTCTCAGCAGCTTTGCCATGACTCTGGTCTGTTTAACCATTAAATGAGTCAAATGCGTAAACAAAGCTTCAACCCTAGATTACAAACATAACCTGTTAATCAATGTATTTGTTTTGGAGCTGAGAGATCCCCTCTGTTACTGAATCACACTAAGCCTGTTTCAGCTCATCCACTGTGGAGCCTTTGCTATGTTTTAGTTAAATTTGACAATAATAAACTTGATAACGCGATAAAGTTAGGAGGTAAATCGGGCTGTAGCTAACAATTACTTTGCAAATTGATTAATCTGTCGATAATATTTTCGATTATTAACCGCATAGCCAATGATTCCTTTAAGAAGACTTTTTAAGAAATTAAATCAGGTGAAACAAAAACTTTTCCACTTGGGGAGTTCAGGATAGAGCAGATTGAGACGAAATAGATTTTTTTTGTAATCTTACATGCAAAATATTGACACATTTTTACAATCATCGTATAATTCCTGCTCTAAGTGGGTCTCTCTGTCAGCTGAAGGCATGTTTTAGAGTCTCTATACTCCAGTTAATGATTAATCGATTACTGAATTAGTTGACGATTATTTCAATAAACAATTAATCGGATTGTTTCAGCCCTAGTTGCATATTTGTAAGTGGAATAAATATCTCCTTTCTCCCCCCTCCCCATTCATTCCTATAGACATTTTAGGCATGTTTTTGCTAAATATGTTTCCATAGAAACTCAAACATACTAATAAATGTGACGGCACACTTCCCAAGTCTGAGCTCGACGTTGTGATACCAGAAGTTATGAACATTAATCCAGTCTGACTGTATTTCTCCTCAATGTGTCTTGAGATGACTTGTTTTAGAAATAAACTGAACTGAATTAAAATTAGTGCATGTAGTAACATTACGTCTTTCTCCTGTGTTTGTCTTTCCAGACCTCCTGCAGGTTGGAAAAGAGGAGGATTTCTCTGAGCAGCAGCTCTGGAAACAGGAGAGGAATTCCAGTTTGGACCAAGAGGAACCAGAACCTCTGCAGATGAAAGAAGAGCAGCTAAAGCCAGAAGATCCCTGGACTAAAGAGGAAACCATGGAGCTCCCCATCAGTGAGCAGGAGGAGCAGCTGCTTCTCAAGGAGGCAGGAGACACGATAGAGAAAATCTTCCCATGTTTGACATGTGGAGAAAGGTTTAAAAGAAAAGAACATTTATTGGTTCACATGAGAACTCACACAGGTGAGAAGATTTATGAATGCATGTGCTGTGGAAAAACCTTCTGTAATAAATCTCACCTTGATAGGCACCTCAGAATTCACACAGGAGAGAAGCCGTTCTCCTGCACCATTTGTGAAAAAAGTTTTACTCAGAAAGTTAGTTTGTCTTATCACATGAGAACGCATTCAGATGAAAGACCTTTTTCCTGTGACACCTGTGGGAAAGCCTTCAAAGCAAGAATTCGTCTGAATGAACACATGAGAACTCACACAGGTGAGAAGCCGTTCCCCTGTACAATCTGTGGCAAATGTTTCAGTCAAAAACATAGTCTGTCAGCACACATGGCGACTCACTCAGTTGAAAGGCCTTTTCCCTGTGCTTCCTGTGGGAAAATGTTTAAAAGTAAAGCTGCATTGAGATTACACATGAGAAATCACTCAGGTAAAAGGATGAATAAATGTCTGTTCTGTGGAAAGAGTTTCACTCAGAAATCTAATCTTGATAGACACATCAGAATTCACACAGGAGAGAAACCGTCCTTCTGTGTGGTTTGTGGCAAAAGTGTTACAAAACAATGTAAACTGAATTCTCACATGACAATTCACTCAGATGAAATGACTTTTTCCTGTGAGACGTGTGGAAAAACCTTCAAAAACAGAAATACTTTGACGTCTCACATCAGAACTCACACAGGCGAGAAACCTTACTCCTGTACCATGTGTGACAAAAGTTTTGCTCAAAAAGTTAGTTTGACTAAACATGTTGCCACACACTCAGGTGACAAACAGTTTTCATGCACAATATGTGGAGTTGATTATTTAAAAAAAATCGATTTTGTGCTTCACATGAAAAGTCACATTAGTGAGACGCCACAGGGCTCAGATGTCAGTCAGGCAGTCTACTTTTTTGTTTAGAAAAAAATGAAAAAACACACTAGAAATATTATGTTAACTCTCTTTCTTAAAATTATTCTGCACCACAATTGTCGCATTAAAGATGTTGGGGCATGTTCAAACCTTCTGCTGCTTGAAGAGACAAAAGTGCAAAGAAGCTTTTAGGTTTCGGGGTTCAGTCATATCTAAGGTGCCTGTTGCTCTGCTTCTGATCTCATCTATTTTGTTTGTCCTAAAACCTCATTATTGAGGTTATAATTCTGTGGTCAAAATATCTGCATTTACCAGGAAAATGTTGAACTATTGATATTAAATCAAACACTATTTTTCTAAAGAAAACTTGTATATGTCAAGCTTTACACACTACAGGGTACTGGTTGTTGTTGTTGGTTCAATAATACAGAAAGAAAAATGTTTATTGTTATATATGGAGGCAGGAGGAGGCCTTTAGCAGCAAAGCAGTGGAGACCCAGATCTACATTACATTAGCAGGAAAGACCCCAGCTGCAGAAAGCCTTGCAGAGAGACGCTGGAGTCCCAGATACTATTCTGCAGCCATGTTTCAGTAGAACTCATAACGCTGTGCTGCAGATGTGCTAGCTGGGTCCTTGCTAGGGCTTGTAGTTCAGTAGTGTAGTGGTCCCTGGAGAGGTGGATATACTCGCCCACTTTTCTAATGCAGAAGTAATGGCATGTCAGACCGTTCTATAGTTTACCCTAAAATTCAGTAGTTTTTACTGAATGTGATCTAATTTCTCGACATTAGGCTGAAGTGTAACGGGCTAGCACTGCTAAGATTAACTGAACTGTTGGCTAATGCTAATTCACGAGGAAATAAAAGTGTTGTTTGCGCTTCATATTACCAATTGTTTGCTTATCCTAAAAGCAAGTCATTTAAAGTTAACTTTTTAAATGTTATTTCAAACGTGAGCAATATTAACCTCAGCGTTACCCACCCCCCTCTGCCCTGGATTGGCTTACTGGTTGTCATGCCAACAATTAACCAGTGTAATCAATAAAGGCAGTGAATTCTAGCCAATTAGAAGCAGAGTAGTGCAGGTGATGCCTTCACCATCCTAGGAAAAAATGGGAAATTTGGCTCTAAGATTCTACTTAATAGTGTGGATCATGAGGGAGTGTGTATACACAATGCTGATTAAAAACTAACAGGTTATACGCTGTATACCTGCGTATACCCTGGACAGCTCTGCTTCTAACCTAAAGTTTCCTAAAGATTTCTCTCTGCCCATGATGATTCATGGAAGAGATGAATTAAATTTTCTGTTACTTTCAAATTTCAAGTCAATTTTCAAAATCTAACAAGGTTAGAGTTTTTACTGTTAATTGATTGAACGTTCTTATTTTTACTAGAAATCCTTTTGCATTAATAATGTATTTATAGAAGACTAACACTTCTCTACAAATGTAATGTTTCTCATCTGTAAAGGCTGTTTTTTTATTTATAATTTTCCTTTAAACTAATTCTAATGGTTTTGTTCTGGTCGTATAGATGTTCTATTTACCTGCTGTGACTCATGGAAGCAATAGACTGTTTTATTGTTTCTTATTTCATTATCTTCTTCTGTGGATTTTTTCTATGAATGTAAATAAATCTGTATTGATTAACCTAGCAGCAATAAAACTGACACTGATCATAAAAAATGTGTTTATATGTTTTTCTGTGTTGCAAACTATATTCTTTAATAATGTTTTCTCTGATCTTGTCATTTCTATATGTATTTTATTTATATAATGCATTAATATAAAATGTTTAATAGTATTAAAATGCTCAGAGGATGTTTAGGAACTTGTCATCAGACAGGAGTCAATGCTTGATCAGTTTAATTTTCATTTCAGATTAAGACATGGACATGAGGCTTAAAAGAAAAAAACAGTTTTGAGGATTTAATTATTTTCATTATTTTATTGTTTTTCTGTTACTTCTCATTGTTGCCCTGCGATGGACTGGCGACCTGTCCAGGGTGGACGCCGCCTCTCACCCGTAGACACCTGGAGATAGACACCAACACCCCTTGTGACCCCAATTAGGATAAGCGTGACAGAAAATGGGTGGATTGATGCCTCTCATTGTGTCACCCTATGGCAGCTCACATCCCAGCTAGAGGGATGTTCCCATGATGACCTATAACCTTTGAGGTTCAACCATCACCTTAATTTGGTAAGGCTGTGGTTTGGGGGAGAAGGATATTGCAGCTTGATTTTATGAAGCGGCTCCTCTTTGATGAAGTTAAAGAAACAGAGTTCGTGGCCATTTTGCTGTTTCCTCAGCAATGGTCCTGTTGTGCTAAAATAATATCCTGCAGATAATGAATAACTGATTAACTAAACAGGAGTTATAGCTAATTATTTAACTTATTCAAAATCGGATTTTATCTCTGTTTAGTCACACTGTTACCAAAAGAGGGAGGATCTGGCCTGAGTGATAAATCGTCCGCTATATGAAACACAGAACAACTGCAAGTTAAACAATGACGTCTTTATTCTAATAATTCAGGATTAAAAAAATCTAACATCTATGCAAACACTGCATGCTATTAGAAAAATAAACACGAGGTAGACTAAGTAGCTACGTTTACATGCGCAAAATTTCCCCGATCCGATCCAAACCTTGGTTGATCGGAAATTCAAAATCTCCGTTTACATGGACACTAAATGAAATGATCCGATCATGACGTGTGTATACATGTACCAAGCGTTGGATCAGATTAAATCTTTTAAGCATGCGCAGAACTTCCTGCCAAACTTGGCAGTTCTGTCTGCGTCTGGTTTTTGGGAGGCCTGACAAATGATGCGCTCGGAGCGAGCGGAAAGAAAAAAGGAGAGAGGAGGAAAAAAGCGCTTGGCAGCGAAATGTCCGAGAGAAAATGTAGAGAATGAGCGATTGAACCGGCGTGGGAGAGCGAGTGGGCGAGGAGGATAAATTCCTGCTTCCTGCAGCTTTAAATGAACTTATAAGTCGGCGTTCCTAGACTCCCCCCGCCATGTTGTTCACAGCGAGAGCGAGAGTGACCGGTGATTTCCTGTTGTTGACAAGGCGGAAAAACGTCACGCTGACGTCGCACACATGCGCAGTGAAGATTATTTTACTCTTAAGATCCGAATGGGTGTTTACATGGACGCCAATCGGAATGGCGATCGGCAAAAACCACCTCTCTGATTCGGAATTAAACTTAGATCCGATCGGACCGAATCGGATTAGAATCTTCAGTCTGACATGTTTACATGAAACATTTTTGATCTGATCAGGCCTTCAATCCGATTAGTTGTGTCCATGTAAACGTAGCCAGTGACTAGTGTAAAGAAAAGGAATAAAACCCTAAGAGTCTGTTTAACTGGTTTCTTAGATTGTTCACGATAGGCCAGATGTTAATACATTCAATAATGTCTGTTAGAATAACAGCAGGTATGATGATAACAACAGTGCAATTAAAAAAACATAAAATACATTCAGCTTAAAATGGTAAATGGTTAAAATGCATTAACAACAGCAGCAGAAGTTCATTCTGCAAAGCTGCATAAACAGGGCGGGGTGTGTGTGTGTGGGGAAGACATGTAAATGTGACTGTATGGACGTATGGGAGACTCCCTCTTCATGTGATGAAAGGGATGAGGGGGGTGGCGGGGTGGCAAACTTAAAGCAGAAAGGGAAGAAAGTAGGATAGGAAATAGAAAAAGGAAATATCACTTGCAGCTTTCACAGCACTTATTTCAACCAATGAACCAGAGCTCTATTAACCAATATAGATTAAAATCAGCATTTATTCAAACTTCTAACTGCCTGTCTCTCTCGTCCGAGCACAGCACCTCATTAATGGAGGGATATTACTTTCTGTCTGGGAAGGCGTGCTGAGGGGGAGAAAAGGGGGGCGCCCAGTTCGGCTCCAGTTCTGCAGGGGTCCATCTCAGCAAGGATCCGTTCTCGGAAGAGTTCTGAGTCAGTTTGATGCTACAGCAGAGAAATTGTTGGGCTTTTAGGTTGAGGAAGGTTTACTTTCGGGCTATCAAAGGAAAGGCGTCCCCCTGCCGATAGGCCATGATATCTGTAGAGAAGTCCTCACAAAGTGGGGAAACTCCTCTCAGCGTCCAGCTCCAGAAGTTTCTGTCTTCTCAGTTCAGCGGGCGCTATGCACGTTGGAACACTGTGATCCGTCACTTTTGACACAGGAAAACGAAAGCTACTTCCAGCTAGCTTTCTTTAGCATTTCACGTGAAACAGGCGTCTCCTCGCAGGCGCTCTCAGTTTTAAACCATGAGTGACGCTTGGGCATTTCCTGTTGAAGTTTCAGCTTCCTCTTGAGCTGATTGGTCCAAGCGTTAGCTGACCGTACCTTGACCGCAAGTTCCAGAACTTTCCAGAGCATCTATTGTTCTCTTTGTGAAAAAGGAAAGGGGGAAGGTTTTAGATGGTTCATCCAACTGATTTGCACTCCATTGTGGCAATATATCCCAACAGTCCTAATCCAAAACAGGTAAATTGTGGTTATATCAAGGATTTTGCATATCAGGACTGTAATAAATTCTGTAGGCTAACTTCTTTTTCGCTTTTTTTCCATACTCTGACAAAATCCCCTCCCGAATTAAAGATTTGCTGTAGGTACCTGATCTGCTCGGGGCCCCGCCCCTTTTTATGACATCAACATCTGGCAACTCCACTCGGACAAACTTTTTCTTAAGGATCAAATCTCTTTTAGAGTCTCAACATAAGATTGCCTATATTTGCTATTATTTTACATTTCATTGGTGATCTAAAGTAGCCAAAAGTAGAAAACAGTCATTGTCACTCTTGAAGTAAAGTACTGCGTTTTAAGACTGAGCTCTGCTATTTAACAAGGTGACAAAAAGGTCTCAGCTGGTTTTATTCTTTTTATTAAGATCTGAGGACAGAGGAGGACAAATGGAACATCTTAGAAATGACTTTAATAGAGATTTTAAACAAAACAGGTATTCTACTTGTAGAAAACGAACAGTTGTTGTTGACATGGAGTTAAAAGTAGTGTAGCTTAATGTGGCTAACTGACCGAGCTACTGTCATATTACGGTTAACCCTTGGCCACAGCATTCTCATCTTGAAATGTATTGACTTGAATTTTGTGACCATAATTCTAATGACAATAAAGCCTGTCAACTTTCACCTAAAGAGATTTCCTCTACCACCACCATGAAGCACAATTTTCTGTTGTACAAAATGTCTCAACCTGTGTGGTGTACACTCACCGGCCACTTTATTAGGTACACCTGTCCAACTGCTCGTTAACACTTAATTTCTAAGCAGCCAATCACATGGCGGCAACTCAGTGCATTTAGGCATGTA